CCTAGGCACAAAATGACCTGATCCTTGTCATTTTCTGTATAAAACATATTTTGTTTTACCTCCTTTTTTGGGGCCTGAGGTTACATACTGCTTAATTATTTGTCCTTTCTAAATAAAGCTTATCTTTGGGAGGGACAGGATTCAGTTTTTTCAGTATCTTTCTGAGGCCTACGTATTTGATGAATTCTTCATAAATACTTGAGAGGGCAGTGAAGAGAAGAGAAGCAGGCAGTACAGTATGGTTTCTGGAAAATGGAGGTAAAAGATAGATTTATATTGGCGCAAAATATTTTTTTTAAAAAAAAGATTTATTTATTTATTTGAAAGTCTGAGTTACACAAAGAGGCAGAGAGAGGGAGAGGGGGAGCAAGAGAGGTCCTCCATCTGCTGGTTCACTCCCCAAATGGCTGCAACAGCTAGAGCTGCACTGATCCAAAGCCAGGAGCCAGGGGCTTCCTCTGGGTGCCGGGGCCCAAGCACTTGGGCCATCTTCTACTGCTTTCCCAGGCCATAGCAGAGAGCTGGATTGGAAGTGGAACAGCCAGATCTAGAACAGGAGCAGCCAGGACTTGAATTTGGGCCCATATGGGATGACAGCACTGCTGTGCCACAGTGACGGCCCTGGTGCAAAACCTTTTGGGACCCATGCATACAAGAAATCTTCAAAAAGTTCACGAACAATGTAGATTGTAAAAAAAAAAAAAAAAAAAAAAAAAAAAAAAACTAGACATGGGCCGGTGCCGTGGCTCACTTGGTTAATCCTCCACCTGTGGCGCCAGCATCCCATATGGGCACCAGGTTCTAGTCCCGGTTGTTTGTCTTCCAGTCCATCTCTCTGCTGTGGCCTGGGAGGGCAGTGGAGGATGGCCCAAGTGCTTGGGCCCCTGCATCCGCATGGGAGACCAGGAGGAAGCACCTGGCTCCTGGCTTCGGATCAGCGCAGCACCAGCTGTGGTGGCCATTTGGGGAGTGAACCAATGGAAGGAAGACCTTTCTCTCTGTTTCTGTCTCTCACTTTAACTCTACCTGCCAAATTAAAAACAAACAAACAAAACCAAAAAACAAACAAACAAAAAAAACTAGGCATGGGTTTCAAAACATTTTTGCACCAAAATAAACTTATTTAAATTCTATTTTACACAAGCTTTCTTTATTTCTTCCTTTCTTTACTTGACAGAGTTACAGACAGTGAGAGAGAAAGAGAGAGAGAGAAAGGTCTTCCTTCTGTTGGTTCACCCCCCAAATGGCCACCAGGGCCGGCGCGCTGAGCCGATCCGAAGCTAGGAGCCAGGTACTTCCTCCTGGTCTCCCATGCGGGTGCGGGGGCCCAAGCACCTTGTCCATCCTCCACTGCTCCTCCCGGGCCACAGCAGAGAGCTGGACTGGAAGAGGAGCAACCAGGACTAGAACCCAGTGCCCATATGGGATGCTGGCGCTGCAGATGGAGGATTAGCCGAGTAAGCCACGGCGCCGGGCCCAACACATACTTTCTTTTTTAAAGATTTATTTTATTTATTTGAAAGACAGAGTTACAGAGAGAGCTAGAGACAGAGAGAGAGAGGTCTTTCATCCGCTGATTCATTCCCCAGATGGCTGCAACGGCCGGAGCTGCGCCGATCCTAAGCCAGGAGCCAGGAGCTTCTTCTGGGTCTCCCACACGGGTGCAGGGGCCCAAGAACTTGGGTCATCTTGTACTGCTTTCCTAGGCCATAGCAGAGAGCTGGATCTGAAGTAGAGCAGCCAGGACTCGAACCGGTGCCCATATGGGATGCTGGCTCTTCAGGCCAGGGTGTTAACCTGCTGCACCATGGCACTGGCCCCTACACAAACTTTTTGAAGTACTTTTCTAGTTACTCAATAAAAGTGGCTAATTTTAATGCTTTGGTCATTACTGCTATTTAGAAACAATACTTACACTTGGAATACCACAGTGGGTCCAGAATTTAAAAAACTAATTCAAATCTCAATTCCATCACTAAGATTTATTTATTTATTTTCATTTTTACTTGAAAGGCAGAAAGATGGAGAGACAGAGAGATCTAGCTCACTCTCCAAAAGTCCCCTTTGGCTAGGGCCGGGTCAGGTCAAAGCTGGGGATCAGGAACTCCATCTGGGTCTCTCCCAAGTGGTGCCAGAAACCCAAGTATTTCAGCCATCATCTACTGCCTTCCACAGTGCTGGTTAACAGGAAGCGAGGACTCCAAACAAGCACTTTCATGTGGGACAGGGTCTCCCAAGGGGGCAAGCAGGCCCCAACCCCCCCCCCCAATTCCATTATTTTAATATAGGAAGAGTACTGGATTTAGGGTTAAGAGATTAAGGTGTGAGGCCTTGCCGTGGATTGGCTATGTGTCCTTGGATAAGTAACTTAACATCTGTGAATTTCAGATGCAAAAGAAGGAGATTGAGGAGTCATTACTTTTCCTTCTTCCAGCTCTAACAGCCCCTACGTCTACAGTGTAGTCATTTCCTTCCTCTGGCCCCAGTGTGCTCTTCTTTACCTCAGGGCAGGTCCAGGGTGTGTGGATCCCAGTGCCTGTCCGGCATAGTTGAAGAGGGCCCTGGCCATTGTCTGGCTCTGACTCTGACAGCTGGGTGGCATGAACGACAGAGCCCAGCCACCCCCACAGTTTGTGTGGGGGCACCTGTCTCCTTTATTTCTTGCTTTTTTTTTCTTTTTTGATAGGCAGAGTGGACAGTGAGAGAGAGAGAGAGAGAGAGAGAAAGGTCTTCCTTTTGCCATTGGTTCACCCTCCAATGGCCGCCGCAGCCGGTGCGCTGCGGCCGGCACACCGCGCTGATCCGATGGCAGGAGTCAGGTGCTTCTCCTGGTCTCCCATGGGGTGCAGGCCCCAAGCACATGGGCCATCCTCCACTGCACTCCCTGGCCACAGCAGAGAGCTGGCCTGGAAGAGGGGCAACCGGGACAGAATCCGGCTCCCCGACTGGGACTAGAACCCAGTGTGCCGGCGCCGCAAGGTGGAGGATTAGCCTAGTGAGCCGCGGCGCCGGCCTCCTTTATTTCAATTATAAAAATATAAGGGAAAAATGATCACGATGAGAATTATGTCCCCTATTAATAAAAAAAAGTCCAGGGTCTAGCGTGAATAGTACCTTTAGGAAATATTTATTAATAAATAAAGCAAACAAAAATAATAGTACATCTCAACAGCAATGCAGAACAACTTCCCTTCTAAGGGTGTAATGTAATGCCTTTAAAAGTAGAGTCTTGCTTAAATGCATTGCGCTCACTGTAATCGTTAACTTCCTTGATACCTCTTTTGAAGTATATGGAATTTAGACAGCACTTTGACTAACATTTTCTCACCTGACCCTTCATAGAAGCCAAAGAATGGGAACAAATCAGGCATTATTTATCCCTATTTTTAACATGGGTAGGGGGCCTGGGGAAAGTGTGGAGAGCTGGCCAAGGCTTACAGGAGAGTTGGAGCAACCATTCAAATTGCCTGGCTTTCTCCAGCCATACTTGCCAGTACTCCTGGTTACAGCAATCCTGCAACGCAGCCTTGCTGGCTGGGGTGGTTCAGGGGTCCCCCCCCCCAAGTCCTCTCCGCGATCCAGCAGGTAGTGTGCCCTACTCTCTGTGTTGGAGTTGGCTAACATTCCGGGCTGTTGTGTCTGGAGCTGATGGGAGCACAGCCATTCAGATGCCGGGATTTGGCTCAGGGAAGGGTCGGACCACCTGGCGCGCGTCGGCACCAAAGGGTCTCTAGACACGCAGATTTTTGGGTCCAGTCCCTGACCGTGTCTGATTCCTAACACTTCGGGATCCGCGTTTCAGTCAGTCTTTCCTCATCACACAAACTGAAGTAGTTGATGTACTCTTACTATCGCAGTAATTATTGTCGTCGTGGATACCAAGGAAGCATTTATCACTACTGTCTCTTTCACTACCTTAGAATGGGAATTCCATGAGACCGGGGACTAGTCTGGTTTCCTAGAACCCTGCAGCCCTCACGGTAGGAGGTCAGTGAATGTTTATCGAATTGAATGTACGCTGAAGTTTGAAATCGCTGTCACGCACCGCTCCGTCAGTTTACTACGGGGAAACTAAGTCTCACGGCGGTGGAAGCGCCCGCCCCAGGGTTGGTAGGGGGAAGGGCCAGGGTAAAACTTCACAGTCTGAGTCCCGAGCGAGCACCGGCTCTGCTCCGCACAAAGGGACTCTTAAGGGAAAACGAAATCCACTCGGAAGAAAAGGCGTTTTCTTCTCACAAATACTCGTTTCCGGGGGTGGGGGGGCTCGTGGGCGTGAGGGCTACGGGTAATTCCGTTCTCACTCACGATGTGCCCGCTGCCCCCGAGAGGCAAGGGCCTGTCCTCCAAGACCCGAGTCTAACCCATCTCCGAGCCGCGTCCCGGCGGGGCCCAGCTGGGAGGAGCCGCGCACAGCCCGCGGAGGTGAGCGCCGCTCGTCCAAGGTCACTCGGGCAGGGCCCGGAGGGGTCAGGCCCCCCGGGAGCTGGGCAAGGGGTGGTGTTCGGCTCGGATGAAGACCCCCCCTTTAGCAACTTGGCAGTCGGGGGAGACATTAACGACTTCGTCCCCGAATCCGGCACGAAATCTAGAGTGCGAGCAGGCCGAATCGGCCGCATGGCCCGTTCCCATGTGCTCCACCTGCGCCCTTTCTCACGCGCTGGCCCTTTAAGGCACCTCCCCCTCTCCACCCCCCCCACCTCTCCTGCTTCGCCATTGCCTGCACCCCCCCCCCCCACCTCTAGAATTGCATCAGGCACGTGCTCGCCCCCGTCCGGTCTTAGCTCCGCCACCACCACTCCTCCCCCTCCGCCCCCCCCCCCCCGGCTCGGGAGGTGCACCGAGGAGTCGGAGGCGAGGGGAGGGGCGAGGGGCGGGCCCGCGTGGCCGTGCGCGCGCGCTCCCGCCGCCTCCGCCAGCCTGCCCGTCGCCCAGGGCCAGCCCAGCGGGCGCGCGCCCGCCGCGCCGTCCCCTCCCCTCGCCAGCCGCGTCGCGAGGCGCGCGCCCGCCCGCCGCCTGCCGCGGATCGCGTGGTCTGCTCGGCTCGCCGCGCCTCTCCCCCGTCCGTCCATATTGCTGCAGCCCCCGAGCCGGGAAGCCCGGGCCGCCCCGGGGGCGGGGGGGGAGGGAGGGACGGGACGAGAAGCCTGCCAGGCTCGGGGTGGGGGCGTCTTGCGAGGAACGGGCGGGGGGGGACGCGCGCCGAGGAGGCCTGGACCGCAGATTGGGGGGCCTTCCTCCCCCCCCCGCCCCACCAGTGGGCCTCGGATCTACGGCGGCTGCATCCGACCGGGAGGGGGGCCGCGCCTAGCGTGAAGCCCGACTCTTCTCCGCAGGGACTGGGGCCCAGCGCCCCGGAGGAAGGCGTCGCGGGCGCCCTGCGAGCCAAGTTCGAGGCGGGGGAGGCAGCCCCGGGCGCGCCCGGCTTCTCCGGGGGGGCGGGCGCGCAGATGGCCACTCAGGTGGAGCCGCTGCTGCCGGGGGGCGCCCCCCTCTTGCAGGCCGAAGAGCACGGGGGGCTGGTGAGGAAGAAGCCTCCACTGGCGTCTGAGGGCAAGGGCGAGCCCGGGGCGAACGACGTCGGAGGCGGGGAGCCGGACGGCGGCGCCCGGAGACCCCGACCGCCCTACGCCAAGCCACACAAGGAGGGCATTGGGCAGCAGGAGCGCGAGAGCCCACGGCTGCCGCAGCCGCCCGGCGCCGAGGGCCCAGTCAGCGACGGGGAGGAGGGCGGCGGCGAGCCGGGCGCTGGCGGAGGAGCGGCCGGAGCCGCGGGCGCCGGGCGCCGAGACTTCGTGGAAGCCCCCCCGCCCAAGGTGAACCCGTGGACTAAGAACGCGCTCCCGCCGGTCCTGGCCACCGTGAACGGACAGTCCCCTCCAGGTGGGTCTCCGTGCTTGCTCTCCAGGGTCTAAGGGGCCTCTTCCGGGGATACCGGCGTCCCCTCCCCCAGCGGCCTCCGGGGGTCGGCCCCTAGTCGTGGTGACTCGGGATTTTTTTTTTTATTACCTCCTGGCTAATTAGGGTCATCGTGCATTCCCTCCCCCTTCCCGTTGCACGCTCGGGAACCTGCCCCGCTGGAGTGCCGGGCCTCCAGGAGGCCACCTCCTGGGCCGCAGCGGTTAGTGGGCAACGGCGTGGTCCGGGCCTACCTCGCCATAGAAGAGGGGGTGGGTGCTGGTGCCGGGGAAGGGCCTTCTGTCCCCGGCCGCGCGTTGGTCCAGACGGTCTCCGGTGGGCACCTTCCTGGGAGGCCCCCTCTCCTACCGCGCCCGGGTTTCGGCCGCGTTGCGAGCGTCCCCACGTTGTAAACGCTTAATGAGCATATGTCAGGGGCAGCCCGGCGCCGAGCTCCGGCGGGCCGCACGGACTCGGGATTTAAAAGTTAGCAAGTTTGCTGTCGAGGAGATGGTGTTGGGCCGGAGAATCGCCATTCGGAGACAGACTGAGGTCAGTTAAGGGAGGACGAGGGAAGGAGGAAACCCAACGTGTCATTGGATGCAGTGGTTTCCCTCCAATGCCGGGCACCTTCCGCCTTGAGCTGGAGCCCCGCGGCGAGTGTGCCGAGGGGTGGGGTGGCAGGGAGAGCCAGTTAGGGCCGGCGGAAAACGTGAGGCGGGTGAGGGGCTTGCGGCGACTCGAGGGGCGTGTGGCCGCGGGGAGGGAGTGGCCGGGCGGGCGGGTGACAGTTGGGCGCCATGCGCTGCGCCGGCGGCCCGCGGGGCCTGTGCGTTCGGTGCGGGTCGCGGCGGCCAGGGTGGGAGGCGGGTGCGGGCCCGAGGCGCGAAGGGTGCGTCTGCGCGGGTGTAAGTGCGCGCCCCCTTCCCGGCATTCCTCCGCAGCCGGGGCAACGTGGTGCTCCCGGCGCGCTAGTGCATGTGACCACCGCCCGGTGCGCCCCGGGCCTCCCTCTCGCCTCCGCTTCGGGGTGTTTTTGGGCCGGGCGCCTTGGGGGAGGTGAAGGTGTTGGAAATCCCAGCAGAGCGGTGACAGTGTGAGGAGACAGTCGTTGCAGAATATGGAGTCCGCGCTGGGCCTCCCCTGGCTGGCTTAGGTGGGGGGCCCGCCCTCTCTCTCTCTTGTTGGCTCTCTTTGGTTTGGGGTCCTTCTGAAGTGGGCCGGTGTTGGAACTGAGTGGTAGTTCTAAAACGATGGTCTCTGTCCGTAACCCTAGTGCTTTTTCAAAACTTCCGCGTCCTGCAGTGAGCTGGCTGAGGCTGACTGGTTCAAACCTTCGAAACGGGGAAAGGCAAGAGGAACGGGAGCTTAATGCCTTCACATTCGGAGGGAGGAAGCACTGTTAGTCCTCGGCGCACCACCAGCGCCCATCCTGAAAACAGCACGTGGCCAGTTTTCTTCTTCTTTTTTTTTTTTTTTACAAGATGCTTCAGTTGAAGGGGAGAATTTGGGGTTTACAACAGTGTTCTTTCTACTCCTCCTCCCCTTCCCTCTTTTCCTTCCGAACCCTCTTATGCAAAGGACAATGCTGAAACCTCCCATTTTCTTTCAAATCCCTCCTATCCACCCACAGTGCTAGGGAAAACAACTTTAAGACACTCTTTGGTCCTTCCCCCTCTTTAAACTCAGAGGTATAATCATCCCTAAGAGAGCACTCCTCAGAAGTTTAAATGGGGCTACTCACCCTGGCTGCTGCTTCTGCTTAGCTAATGGTGGACCTGCCTTGTGGGTTTTAAATCAGCCATGACATCAGCTGGTGTTGGGTGCCTGAGCTGGCATTTTGTGTAAGTCCAGGGGCCCTTGATAGCTTGCGTCACTGGGGTTATTGATTGTGGGAAGAAGACAGCTTGGCTGGCATCTCGCCTTTCCTTCTGAGTGGGTAAGGTGCCGGCTGTAAGCTCCCAAAGCGAAATTCTGAGTCTGGTGGATTTGCTGTATTCTTGTCTTTCTGGAATTTTAAGGCAAGAGAGTATCTGTTTGCTAGTTTAGAATCTTTGGAATAGTTTTTGTCTAGCCAAATTAATCCAGTAGTTGAGTCTGTTTAAGCCTGTTAGGGCTGGGCTGCTTTTTGAGAGAATTCTGTGGTTGGATCCTCTGCTCTGTGAGTTAGGTAGTAGCCCTTTCCCTGGAGCCAGCATGGACCTCTAAGGCCCATTTCCAGCCCTGCTTTTGTTTGCAGCCTGGGCAAATTTAAATGTGACACCAGCGGAGTGACTGTGTGGTCTTGGGAATTTTTGTGTTCTGTGATGCATATGTTTTTGGGAGTCTACAAAAATGAGTGCCTCATAAGCAAGCTAAAAGCTTTCCAAAGCTTGCTGCAGATGCCTATTTTTAGCCCTCCTTTTGGCTCAGATGCTGGTGTTTTAGTTCTTTAAGGGACACATGCAGTAACTAGTAATAAAATATGTTTTACGATATCTTCTCTTTTCTTGAAGGGTTCTCTACTCATGTTTAAGCTTCCAAGTTTTAGGTTTGTAACCTTCAGTCTTGGGATTTGCATTTTGGTTTTTTGAAATCCCCTTGTCCCTTAGGGCATTTTCAAAATGTCTTATAATAATTTTTACCTTATTCCAGACACTAAGTGTAGGATGTAGGGTGATGCTATATAGCAGATGCTCTGGGGACGAATTGCATGCATTCATATGTTAACCCTACCACTTGTAAGCCATGAACCCTTGGACAAGTTGTTTAACCATAATCTGTGCCTCACCTTCACCATGTGTATACGGGGATTAATTTGTTACTTAGCTTGTCTCATAGGGCTATTGTGAACATTCACTTTGATGATACATGGAAGATATGAGCCCAGCCCCGGGCCTGTGGTAGCTCTTACATCTGGGTGATTGTGGGACTTTCAGGGACTTTTTCTGAGTCTCCATTTTTCTCCATATGTAGAATGAGGAGATTGGAAAATGCATGCCTTTCTTTTTTGTTGTTGCTTTAGTGGTACTTTGTGAATAAGTGAGTGGGATCTGTCTCCTTTTTTAAAGATTTATTTATATATTTGAAAGAGTTACACTGACAGAGAAAGAGAGGCAGAGAGAAACATCTTCCATCTGTTGGTTCACTCTCCAGTTGTCCTCAACGGCCAAGCCAGGAGCTGCTTCCAGGTCTCCCACGTGGGTGCAGGGGCCCAAGGACTTGGGCCATCCTCCACCGCTTTCCCAGGCCATAGCAGAGAGCTGGATCGGAAGTGGGGCAGCGGAGACTCACACCAGTGCCCATATGGGATGCCGGCACTGCAGGTGGCAGCTTTACCTGCTACACTGCAGTGCCAGCTCTGAGATCTGTCTCCTTTAAAATTGACTTTGCTTATCCAGCTACATGAAGGGCATGTTATGGATAGACTTACAGGTTGGTAACCCAAAGAATTGGCTATTTTCCTTTGGAAGTATATGATGATTTTTTAAAAAATAGGTTTTAATATTTTGCTCTGCCTTTTGTAATGAATGATTGTCTTTGGGGAGAGTGCCCTGGTGCCCTCAGAGCTGTGGGGAAAGGCCAGGGCCACTGAACTAAGTTTGTTTTGGCCAGAACACATGAGACCACCCCAGGAGCCTCCCTCCACCCAGCCAGCAGGATAATCAGTGAGTGGGGTTGCTGTGTACACACCTGTAGCTTGGTGTAGTGAGAAAAGTAGAGCCAACTAGGTCTGAGACTTAGGTGTTGTGCTTTAGGTACTCTGTGTGTGTGTGTGTGTATGTCCCTTTGAAATGCAATTAACTGATGGCACAAAATAAAAAAGTTATAATCGAGCTGCCTTGTGGTGCCCCAGAGATCCTCTGCTGCACTGAGCTGGCGGATAAATAAAGTTCTACTCTTTGCTGTTTTCTTTCCTGCCTTTGGATCCTTCCCAAGCTGCCTGTGGCTGTCCCAAGGCATGGCTGTGACCTTAGTGTTAGAGCTACTTCAGACAGTCCACACTCCAGAAAGGGGGCTGCATGTCAGTAAGAGCTCTTCCCTGGATACATAACAGTCCACACTTTGTGTTGTAGCTGTGCTTCTAATTTGCTGTGCAGTCTTGAGTGAATTACTCACTGTCTCTGAACCACTGTTAGCTCATCTTCAAAGCAAGAATCATGAAATAGCTATTTGAGAGCATTGTGCAAATTAAAGAAGATAATGTTTGTAAAGCCCTTTACTTAGTGCCAGTCACAGAGGAAGTGCCAATAAGTGCTGCTTATTTAATAGTAGCTATTTTTAAGTTTTTGTAATAAACGATCACCATTATTAGAGGTGTTTATTCCACTTTTGATTGTGTCCATGGCTGGCAAGGTAGACACCAGCGGCATGCTTAAGGTTTCTCTGCCTCTGCTTCTTTATCTGTAAAACAAGGGAATTGAATTAGGTCTAAATATCTTCTTTTTTTTCTTTTTCTTTTTCTTTTTTTTTTTGACAGGCAGAGTGGATAGTGAGAGAGAGAGAGACAGAGAGAAAGGTCTTCCTTTTGCTGTTGGTTCACCTTCCAATGGCTGCCACGGCTGGCGCGCTGCAGCCGGTGCGCTGCGGCCGGCGCACCGCGCTGATCCGAAGGCAGGAGCCAGGTGCTTCTCCCGGTCTCCCATGGGGTGCAGGGCCCAAGCACTTGGGCCATCCTCCACTGCCCTCCCGGGCACAGCAGAGAGCTGGCCTGGAAGAGGGCAACTGGAAAGAATCCGGCACCCTGACCGGACTAGAACCTGGTGTGCGCGCGCTAGTGAGATAGCCTATGAGCCATGCGCGCCCTAAATATCTCTAATTCTTCTAGGTGTAAACTTTTTTTTCTTCTCTTTCAGTAAACACTTCAGAAAGAAGAACGGGAGTAGAGCTTTATATGTGTGTATATTTGCCCTTATGATTAGGAGCTCCTTCTTTGAACTCAAACTCTGTGAGGGCTGGAGAGACTTGTGAACCTAGGTGGATGGCTTGGAGGGTACATGTGGCATTGTACACATTATGTGCCTGACAGTGTGATGATAGGAACATAGAGTGCTGCCTGTGAAAATTCTTTGCCACTACATCTGCTAGCACCATAGATCTCACTGTCCATTTGGAGAGCAAGTGGGTATAGAGGAGCAAATTAATTTGCTGTGAGGTTAGCAATAATCCAGTTTCTAAACGTGAGAAGTTCTAGATAATGCATTATTTTTTTCAGTAAGTAAATGGCATTTGCATTTTAAAGATTTATTTATTTATTGGAAAGTCAGAGAGGGAGAGAGAGAAATGTCTTCCATCTACTGGCTAAAATGGCCATAACCTCCAGGGCTGAGCCAGGCTAGGCCAAAGCCAGGAACTTCTAGGTCTCCCATGTGGGTGAGAGGGAGGAGCTGGCGCACTTGGGCCATCTTCAGCTGCTTTCCCAGGGGTATTAGCAGGGAGTTGAATGGGAAGTGGAGCAGAAAGGATTTGAATGGGCACCCATGTTGGATGGATTTCTATACCACAGTATCTGCCCCTAAATGGCATTTTTTAAAAGGGGGAATTGTTATAGATGAAAAATATTTGTAGCATGCATAAGATGCATTCTTGTGGATCTTATATCTTCCTGACTTGAAAAAACTGGGCAATAAGAAGACATTTGGGTACAATTGAAGAGATTGGCTCATTTCAGATGAGCAAATTTTAGGTAATTAAGGTACCATATTTTGTTAGAGGAAATGATGGCATTATGGCTGCTTGTTTGCTTTTAACTCTATAACTAGTGTATTGTGCACCCCCACCCCAGAACTCCTAGTTTAGCCTCAATAAATATGACTTAGGGCACTTTTCGCCTATAGCTCAAATCACTTTATCCTTTTCTAAAGAAAGCACATAATGGGGACTCTTCTGAAGGGGAGTGGGAGAGGCAGCCTTAACCTGGTGCCTTTAGCCAGCCTAGTCTCTCTCCTTCAGAGTTGGAGTTTCTCACTAACAAGGGAGTGAGTGCCAGCCTGGGCGCAGGAGGTACTTAGGAGGTGGTTTCTGGTCCTTTGGAGGCTGGGGGGTAGTCCCAAGCCATCTTAACTCCAAAGTCCCATCTGCTGCTGCCCTTGCCTCCCCACCCAGGACTCCAGGACTGGTTCTCTTTGCTGATCTGACACCTGTCTGCAGTGGGCCCTTGACTGGAGTAGGCATTTTATAGCTGCTACTCAGTTCCCATTCTCTTCTGGGAGTTGGGCAGTTAGAGGAGGAGAAGGAGCAGGCCTGGAAACCACAAAAGTCTCTTTAAAATGGAGAGTGTGGCAAGTGGGAGTGCTCCTGTTTGCAAAATCCAAGACAAGCTATTTGTGTGTTTGTGTGTTTGGGGGGTGGATAATTAGATTGCAGGGTCTGGTAGGGCTCCCAGGCTCCACAGGTGCCTCAGTGCTGAGTTATCTAAGGGAGTGGCTGGGATGACCTTACTTTGTGGAAATAGCACAACCTTGTGAAGGGGGAAGGTGAACATGGGCAGTGTGTACCTTTCACTTTGCCACCTTAGATTGCCTACCCTCTGGTCCTTATTCCCAGAATGGGGCTAATCCTTGTACTGAGGTGATTTTGGGGATCAAATTGATAGTGTGGGTATCCCAGTTTATATCCTACAGGATACATTAAAAAGTCCAAATGAAAAACTTGAGGCCATTATCCGTTCTGAGGGGTAATCAAGAGTTAGCTGGATTTTCCGGAAGGGCTGTTTGTGATAGTTCCAGGGCCAGCTGGCCAACTTCCTGTGGCAGGTAGCCTGGTGTCTCCCTGAGGGGTTT